TAAAACAAAAGTAGGCCTAGCAGGATGAGTTGTGGTACAGTGTGGGCAGGAGAAGGGGGGAAACGAACAGTTTCTTGCTAGTGAAGTGCTCACCTTATTGGGATAAATTTATAGTGTTTCCCACACATACACACTTTCTCTAATAATCTTGGGGTTATAAACATGATTACTCCCTTTCATAGTATCCTCAGGATAACCCGGTAAGGCAGTTAGCTTGAGAGAAGATGACTGACACAAGTTCATCCCGGAGAATCGCCATGTTGATCTGAAGCGGCAGAGCAAAGTTGGAGTCCAGTAGCACCTTTAAGACCAACCAAGTTTTACTCTGGGTATAAGCTTTCGTGTGCCTGCATCTGAAGAAGTGTGCATGTGCATAAAAGCTCATACCTTGACTAAAACTTTGTTGGTCTTACAGGTGCCACCGGACTCAAACTTTGTTCCAAGATCATCCTGCCAGGATCATGGATGTGCAGGGATGTTCCCTGTAAGCTGTGGAGTCTTGTAAGCAAAAATTTTACTTTGTCAGCTATTGGCATTAAAGGTGTGAGTGAGCCATTAGGCTACTGCATAAATCAGTTCGCTCTGGAGCCATCCTCCCTGAGCTAAGACAAAAATGTTGAGCCAGAGGCTAAAAAACTGTGAGCTAGCTCACACTAACTCAGCTTAGAGGGAACACTGGCAGAGATCTTAGCTCTCACTAAGGTGACCATGAATGAGGCATATGCCAAAATCACAGTTGAGCATCTGGTGTTTGCTGAGGGCAAGGAAAATACTTCTGGAGTGTGGTGATCTAGGGCTGAAGCAAGTGGGAGAACTTGGAAAGCCAGTATTCATACCAAACAACAGGAACTAGTAGTGATTCACTGTGTTATCAGTCTAGCATCATGAACTGGCCCTTGAAAACAGACTGCTGAAGGCCACAAAAATCAGCTGAGCCCTTGAACGAAAGCTCTCAGATTGTGTCCAATGTAACCACAATTAAGAATGTGTTTTAAACACACACCCCCAAAAAAACCCCACTCAGATTCAAAACATTCATTCAACTACAACCTGAAAAATTTGTGATCTCATACTGAAAGCTGAAATCCACCCCCTTGCTCCCCATGCATAGACATTCAATTTCTGTTCATCTTGCTTAAAATTTGTTCAAGAAACCTGTGCAGGAAAATCAGGAGGGCAAGCAAGAAACTGCCCTATGCAGGTCTGATTTCAGACGGCTGCAATAAACAGATAAATGAATAGCAGCCACCACAAAAGGGCCATCCAGCGCCTTCAAAATCAAGTCTGCTAAAGGATTCCCGGGGATGAGAAGGCCGTGTTGTGGGGCAAAACTGACACCTATTGGTTACTTTCAGATTACTCCACAAACAATGTTATCCCCCCCCCCCCCGGCTTTTAAAGCAAAGAAGATGCTTCCAGCTTTAAAACATGCAGACGCAAATGCAGAATGTTGTAATGCAAAGATCCAGTAAATTGAAAGCAATTCCCCCCCCCCCATTCAGTTTTCAGCAAGCTTGGCTACAGCTTTCCTTTTAAGGAGAAAAACCTCTTTCTAGCGCAAGCCTGGATTGCAGCATCCTTCGATTGTGGGTGGGGGGAATCAAACAAATTCACTTCAAGGGCAGCCACGTTAACCCTCTTCAGAAGGTTGGAAGAATGTTGGGCACAAGACAGACAGGCAGATTTCTGCCTGCAAAAGCAAAGGTGGCACTTTTCGGGCAGGGCCATCATCCGTCTCCCTTGTTCTTGGATTCTGTTGCCTGTTTGCCACCTCCACCGTTGCCCCGATCCAGCTACCTGCCGTGTTCATGCTTAATTTATTATGAGAGTTCTCCCTTCCCTTTGGGGGGAAGCACTTATCTGCTCTCCTGATGGAGGACTGGGCAATCTCCCAGGATTCACCCCACTGGGCCTTGGCTCCAGAGGAAAGGGGGCTCCTCCACTCCAGCACGCCTTCTCCTGAGGCAGCAGGAAGTCTTTCTGGGCCCCAGGGGGCCCTGTTCTGCATACCTGCTGGCAGGCCTCTCTGAGCCCTGGCTCCACAACAGTGTCCACACTGCTACCTCTCCATGCCTGTAGCTTGTCATCCCACTGGCTCTGCGCCTTCTCCACAATTTGTATCCCCAGCAAGACAATCTGCTACTTTTGTTGTTCAGTCACACAGCTGAGTCTGACTCTTCGCGACCCCCTGGACCACATCACGCCAGGCCCTCCTGTCTTCCGTCGTCCTCCGGAGTCTGCTTAATTTCATGTTCGTTGCATCGATAACACTCTCTAACCATCTCATCCTTTGCCGTCCCCATCTTCTTTGACCTTCAATCTTTCCCCGCATCAGGGTCTTCCCCAGTGAGTGCTCCCCTCTCAATTGGTGGCCAAAGTATTTGAGCTTCAGCTTCAGTATCTGGCCTTCCTTCCGGGGAACAGCCAGGGTTGATTTCCTTTGGGATTGGCTGATTCGCTCTCCCTGCAGTCCAAGGGACTCTCAAGAGTCTTCTCCAGCACCATAATTCAAAAGCATCTATTCTTCGGCGCTCGGCCTTTCTTATGGTCCAACAATCTGCTACACTGTGGCTTAAAATCAGAGGCTTGTATTTCTAGGCATTCAGAAATATATCCTTGGCTAAACACACATGTGTAAGAAAAGATCCTTAAGTGTAAGGAGGTGTTGCTGGCAACCAAGATCAAGATTCATGCCATAGTATTCCTCATTACCATGGACGGGTGTGAAAGTTGGACAATGAAGAAAGCTGACAGGAATAAAGTTGATTCCTTTGAAATACGGTGTTGGAGGAGAGTTTTACAGATACCTCAGACCGCCCAAAAGACAAATCCGTGGGTTCTAGATCAAAGCAAGTCTGAACTCTCCCTGGAAACTAAAATGACTCAACTGAGACCATCCTACTTTGGTCACATCATAAGAAGACCAGACTCACTGGACAAGACAATAACGCTAGGAGAAGTTGAAGGCAGCAGGAAAAGAGGAAGTCCCAACATGAGACGGATGGACTCCATCAAGGGAGCCACGAGGGCCCTCAGTTGGCAAGACCTGAGCAAGGCTGTTAGGGACAGGATGTTTTGGAGGTCATCAATTCACAGGGTTGTCATAAGTCAGAAGCAACCTGATGGCACTTACACACCTACACATCCAGGCATGTGCATAATTTGCTCAACCAACTCCAAAGTCCAACGTGCACACCGTGCTGCTGCTGCAGGATAGTCCGGTCCATACTGCTTTCTAATGTCTCACCCTCCTCATTGCCCAGTCAATCAGGGCTCAGGGAAGGGACTGTGTTTTTCTGAGGTTTACTGCTTCTGAATCTGGAGGTTCCTTTCAGTCACCATTCATAAGCCACTGATAGACTTATCCTGCATGAATCTGTCTACTCCCCTTTTAAAGGTGTCTATGCCTGTGGCCACAGCTACGTCCCCTGGCAGTGAATTCCATATTTTATCACGTTGGGAGGAGATTCATCAGTGCATGGAGTCCTCCCAACCCCCCAGGGCCAGAGACTGATGGATACGCTCAACAATCATTCCCCTTGTGACACGGAACCACTGATGGGGAACTGGGAGGGGGGCAATAAAGACTAAGTCAAAAGCTACATCTCAAGTCGGCATAAATCAAAAGGCAACATTTACAGCTAATCCCAGCAGGTCTGTTGGGAAGGAAGAGGTTTTAGAAGGGCCACCCACACAGATGTAGGGGATTTCTGATGAGAAGGGATTCCACAGAACAAAGGCTACCAATGAAAAGTCCCTGCTGCCACTAGTCACTGGTCTCATCTCTGATAGTCATGGAAGCTGCAAAAAGGGCTCCACTGTAAAACCACGGAGGTGGGATTGGATGCTTCCACAGATCTGTCATTTACATTTTTTTAAATACAAAACCTCTTCCAAGAAGCCCAGATCAGTATACGTGTTGTCATTGCCCCCTGTGCTCACAGTCCAAAGGGCTGACCAAGAAAGCGTGACTAGCCCAAGGTCCTACAAGGAAACTCGTGGGTGAACAAAGATTTGAAAGTAAATCTCCCCAGTGCCAATCCAATACTCACAGTACAAATCCTAAGCAGAGATACACACTTCTAACACTCCAACAGACTTCAAAGGGCATAACCACACTCTCAACCACACTGCAGTGTCAAACTGCTACGCCACCCTGGTGTGGACAGTGTCTTGGCTATGCAGGAATGAATTTCTTCTGTGCAAATTCTCAGTGAAGTGAAAAGTCAATTCAGGGAATAATGGGACTCTTTTCATACTCAGCACACCAACAACAACTTCCAAATCCAGTCCCTACGCAAATGGACACCAATAGCATTTGATTCCTAAAGGAGTCGACAACCAATTCGCTCACTGTTCAGAGGAAACCAAGGCTGGGAAATGGAAACCAGCAGAATACTTACTTGTAACAAAGAACTTTTTGGTGAACGTGCAGCTGTCGAAGGCAGCTATTTTTTCCTGCAAGACCACAACAAGGATCCTGAAACAGAAAAACGAAACGTGTTTATGGACAAAACATGTTTATTGCCATGGAAGGTGCAAGGCTGCTCCTGCAAGCAGCAGTCTTGAGCAATGCTCCCTGTAAACTGTGGAGTCTCGTGAGCAAAAATTCGACTTTGTGAGCTACTGGCATTAAAGTTGTGAGCGAGCAATTTGGCTCCTGCATAAATTAGTTTGCTCTGGAGCCCTCCTTCCCAAGCGGAGACAAAAATGTGTGAGCCGGAGGCTAAAAAACTGAGCTGGCTCACACTAACTCAGCTTAGAGGGAACATTGGTCATGAGCAAAGTCTAGTGAAACTCCACCACGCTATGAGACATGAGTTCAGTTTCAATGACCGGCAGCCTGGAGGAAATTCCCAACTTACTGATGTTATGCCACAGAGGTTGCCAACTTCAAGGTGGAGCCTGGAGTTCTCTCAGGATTACAACTGATCACCAGAATACTGAGATCAGTTCCCCTGGAGGAGATGTCCACTTTGGAGGGCGTGGACTCTATTGGCGTCCCATCCTTCTGAGGCCCCACCCCTCCCTAAGCTTTGCCCTCCCTAGGCTCCACCCCCAAATTTCCAGGAATTTCCCAGCTCAGGACTACCAACCCAACATGGCACATTTCTCCCAACCAGCAATTCTCAAGCGGTGTCTGTGACCTCCCCCACCCCAGAGGGGGGGTTACTACGATAGGTTTGACAGGAGTGGGAAACATCAGAAGAAAAACCATGTGTACATCAGACCAATTTTTTTTACTTTTTGTTTTTTACACAGAAACAAAATTATCAACACAATGCATGCTTGTGTGCAGAAGGGCACAACACAGACCTGTTTCGTTTATTTAAATGTTTTTATTAGCCGCCTTTCTTCCTTACAAATCCCTTACAAATCTTACGGCAGCTTGGTGGTGTAAAGTACTGTCAAGTTGCAGCCAACTTCTGATGACCCTGTAGCGTTTTCAGGGCAAGAGACCTTCAGAGGCGGTCTGCCATGGCCTCCCTCTGTGTCGTAACCCTGGGCTTCCTTGGTGGTCTCCCAGCCAAGGACTGACCAGGGCTGACCCTGCTTAGCTTCAGAGGGTCTGACAAGACCTGGCTAGCCTGGGCCATCCAGCTCACAGCACAGATAAAATACATAAAATAAAATACATAAAAACAACATTTAAAATCACAATTCAGGATTGCTAGTAAACTTTACCAAATGCGATCCTAACTAAAACCGTGCACAGGGGTATGCAAACATGTACCATGTCAGACTGTACCTGGAAAGGGAGGGCCTATTTATAATTCCCAATACCCACAGCACGCCACCACCTATAACAATTTGATTGATTGATTGATTGATTTGATTTATATCCTGCCCTCCCCACAAAAAAGAGCTCAGGGCAGCTAACCTAATATTATAACAAGATAAAACTGTTAAATTATTAAAATTGCAATAAAAAAGGTCTAAAACAATACATAAAGTGCTAGCGCAATATAACAATGGCAGGTATCCGACAGTCAGCTGGCAACATGGTCTGGGTCGTATCGGCAGAGCACGGGCTATTCAGTAGGAATAATATTGATATTAATGCTGAAGTAATATTGTTACCAGCGCCGAGCTCCCTGCAAGTCCCAGGGGGGAAGGGTGGGCTTGGAGACCCCCGAAACGCCGAACCCCTCCCTCAACGCCCGCAACGGGGCAGGAGAACGACAGGCACAAGCCGCGAAGGGGGGAGGGCCCGGTGGAAGGAGCATGCCAGGTGGCAGGTTCCAGCCTTACCCCAGAGATTTTTAACCAGAACATTTTATTCGTATTCAACCATAAAGTGTAACAACAAACAGCAAGAGTTACAGAAATCCACTTATCCTACCAATGCAATCAAATATACAATCAAAGAGAGGTTCCACGGAACAAAGCCATAAAGGTCATAGAAACATTAACCCAATAGCAACAACTTATACTTCGCATTGTAAATAGTTTTCCGGTCAAAATCGTCAAAAGTGGGCACAAACAGGAAGTGGGCACTCCCTGCCATAACGCAGCACTGGTTATACAGGGGGGCGGGTCTAAGGGCGGAAGGCTCCCGGGATAGGAGGGCACGGTGATGGACAGGTGTCATAGCCAGTAAGGATTCTAAATCACGAGGATGGGTGGCCCAAGGGGGGGGGGCTGAAAGGGTATTTAAAGGAGGAAACTACAGAGTGCCGGGGAGGATTGGAAGGCTGATCTCAGAGGTACCAGAGAGAAAACGGAGGTCTGTCTGAAGAAGTGAGCTGGGGTGTGACGGAACCCCCGGCGCTTCTACATCTGAGGCACTCTTTTCATCCCCCCCCCTTTCAACACGGCTACGGGATTTTCTGCACCCGGGGTTGACCCAGAGCATGACAAATATTAGGGCCAATGCCTCAGGTAGATGGATGTGGCTCCCTAATCGAAGGCCTGGTGGAAGAGCTCCATTTTACAGGCCCTACAGAACTGCAAAATGTCCCGCAGGGCCCTGATGTCTTCCGGGAGTTCATTCCACCAGTATGGAGCTGCCACTGAGAAGGCCCTGGCCCTCGTCACTGCTAGCCTGGCTTCTCTGGGGCCTGGAAGAGCTAAGCGATTTTGGGACCCTGATCTTAGTGCTCTCTGGGGAATATGTAGGGAAAGGAAAGGCAGTCCAGCGGGGAACAGGCCTCTCGAACAGGGGTTTCCCCGCCCCCCAGGGGGACTTGGCAACCCTATTCTCAGCAGTGGTTCTTTGTTCCTGAGGAAGGACCAGAGGTCTGAAACACTGAACACTTAGGTAGGTAGGTCCCTGATGTTTGTGGAGTACTCATATACCAAGCAGGAAAGAGGGGCAAAAAGGTCTCTGTCCCTAGCTTTGGAGGCATGTTTTGGTCCCCTAAAATTGTAGTAACTTATAAGGGTGCTGTTTAGAGGAGACCTTGCCCAACATTGAAATAATAGAAAAGCATTACCTTGTAAGGAACTGAAAAGGGATTCTCAGCTAGGGTTGCCAAGTCTAACCATGGCTTTAGCGGGGGGAGTCCAGGACCCTGCCAGGCATCTTCTTTCACACACGCCGCAATGACGCCACCCGGAAGTGACATTATTGCGTCAGGCACATTGGGGGCGGGGCCACAATCATTCGAGGGAAAACCATAAAGTTTTCCCTTGAATGATAGAGCATCCCCCCCGCAACCTCCAGGTGGCGTCATCGCGCCAGGCATGTCTGGCACTTTAGGGGCGGGGTTCCCCCCCCCCCCGGGGCCCCCCCCCGGGCCGCGGGGGGGGGAGCGGGGAACAGGCCTCTCGAGCAGGGGTTTCCCCGCCCCCCAGGGGGACTTGGCAACCCTATTCTCAGCAGTGGTTCTTTGTTCCTGAGGAAGGACCAGAGGTCTGAAACACTGAAAAATTACCTGGGAAAAATGTAATTGGTAAGATACGGCTTGTGGTCAGGTGAACACCTTTGCCAGAACTAACGATCAATAGCCCACGGACGGATAATGAGGAATGGGTTCCACCCATCAGGCATACGTCAATCTTTCAGGCTGCTGCAGGTCATGAGAGACTATACGACCCAACTAGCTGCAATTCAAGACTCTTTTCTCCCAAGACCACAGCTGGACCTGTGAACCATGTGGGGGTAGCTTTGAAGCGGTGCCTCTACTCAACACCATACATTCATTCTCACACTCTGCCCCCTTAGGAATAAGGTACTAAGCAAAACCAGCAGATGTGCGAAGCGGGTAGGGGTTACAAAAGCAAAAGTGGGCATTAGCAACCGCAAGGCAGCAATATACAGTTACTGATCATGTTACAAGGACAAGCATTCCCCATGCTAAGGGTCCGAACCTGACACTTCCCTTGAGTCTGGTTTTGGTGAAGGGCTAAAAATGCCCCAAACAAACAAACTGGGATTCTAAACCAGGATTAAACTAGGGTTAGAATCCTAGATACTGAACAAGAAATGGCCTTAATCTGGACGATGCAGCTGACTGGAGTTAAATCAACTAGGCAGGCTTCAACAGAAGTTCTGCATGCAAGGACTGAGGAGGAGGGACCTAGTGTATGCGCCTGAGAATCAAACAGGCTCTTGGCTGATCACTAGGGTTGCCAACATGCAGGCGGGGGCTGGAGAGCTCCCAGATTTACCACTGGTCTCCAGACGACAGAGTTCAGTCCCCCTGCAGGAAACGGCTGCTTTGGAGTGGAGGCTGAATGGCATTATACCCCACTGAAGTCCCTCCCCTCCCAAAACCTCTCCAGGATCCACCCCCCAAATCTCCAGGAATTTCCCAAACAGGAATTGGCAACCCTACTGAAAGAAACTCGAGTTTCTTAATGACATGTGAACAGACCTTCAGTCAAGCAGTACCGTAAAGGAGGAGGAAAGTATTAAGAGCAGCAGGAACAATTTAAGCACATTGTCTTAACTGAAGAACTACTCAGCAGCAGTTCCTTCTCCAGGGACTGCCTGTCTCCCTGTTAACAGAGCCTTCACGTGGTCGTGTGTCCGGGCCCATGTGGAAAAATGGAAGCCGGAGAGGTTTCATGATGTGGTATTAACGCAACCCCCACCCTCAAAAAACCCACATTATACCTCCTGTAATTTACATTTTAAAAATAATTCACTCTCCCTGGTGACTCAAAGTAAAATCCGCCACTGGCACACAGCATATTAATCTAAAAAAGTGTTTCATCCTTGAAAATAATCACATCGGTGAGCTTTTTTATTACAAATCTGCCAGACGTAACAACAATGCTTTATTTGCTGAAAATGTAACCCACCCCCCTTCCGTGCAATGGAATTACAGAGGAGGGGGAAAGGGGTTTATATAATAAATCACTTCACATGATTACCAAGATGAGAAGTGCAAGGACAATAAAAAAAAGCAGTGAGAATTCACCAGGACAGCGATTTGCCAGTAATTGGGAAGCCATTTTAGATTCTGGTAACGCAGGCAGCACAACACAGAAGAAGGGCCTGAACCAGGCTGGCCCCGGGGGTTTGTGGTGGTC